CGCATTTCAATTTTTCTCCCATTGACTTATAATGGGGAGGTCGCAAAATTGACCTGACCTTAGGTCATCGATATCAAAATTCTGAGATATACATTTTGTACATACTATTGCTCTTAGCAATCGCTGAAAGTTTCAAAGCGATCGGTCACTCGGTGTAGCTATGACAGACATTGAAACTTTTATGAGGTGAGGTCACTTCAAGTGACCTGGTGACCTGACCTTGAATGACCTTGGTCTGAAATTTTCACAAGATGTGTAGAATTGATGTATGATAAGGTGTACCAAAACGGCGGCGCTCCGCGCCGCCGTTTTTGAGATATTCGCGAAAAACCACAAGGGGGGGTGTTCAAACACCCCCCCCCGCAGGGCGCGGTTAATGACAGGCTAATTAAAGGAAATAGTTCACTTTTTAACATGGGTTTTGAACTGGAATAGCAGTTCCGTAGCTTGGGCTGAGACGAGCATAAATCAGGAGCTTTTACAGCCCAACGATCACCCTAGGCAAAGATATTCTATTTCTCGTCCCGAAAAAGGTGTCTTGCGTTGAGGATGTGTGCCTTGCATATATTTCCATCCAGTATGAAAAGAGCATGGGTCCCGAAAATTCTTCAGAAACTAGAGAAATTATCTACGAGAACTCTAGAGAAATTCTCGTACTGATCAATTAGGACATTCAGGGGAACATTATCAGATCGAGCAGATCGCCCAAATGCCGGTGGCTGCGATAATTTCTCTGTTTCTGAAGAATTTTCGGGACCCATGCTCTTTTCATACTGGATCGCGTGTGCCTTACAGAAACTGAAAAGTTCTTCCTATATCAAATATAGAAAAAAATATTTTGTTATAAAAAGGTTTTATTTTCTTTGCTGATTATTTTGAACATAAAAAATAATAAATCGTTGCAAAAAAAAAAATTTCGTGAAAGTGAACTATTTCCTTTAAGATTACAGACCACGATACTGCGCGGTGCCAGCGCAGCGGGCCGTGGCGACTCACAGACCGCTGTGGCACAGTACGGGCCGTAGAGACTCACAGGCTGCTGTGGCGCAGTACGGGCCGTACCATCTCACAGACTGCTGAGTGCTGTGGCGCAGTACGGGCCGTAGCGACTCACAGGCTGCTGTGGCACAGTACGGGCCGGAGGGACTCACAGGCTGCTGTGGCACTTGTGCACGAAGACCTGCAGGCCGTTGTCGAGGAAGGTGTTGACGAACATGGTGAGCCGGTTGCCGGAGGGCTTGTCGGCGCAGCCCGGGTCGGCCGCCACGCAGGAGCGGAACCGCAGGTACCGGCTGCAGGGGGCGGAACGAGGGGGGGGGGTCAGGACCGTGCTTCTGCCCTGACCGTTTACCTTATAACCATATACGCCTGCTCCTTATAAAGGTTTGGGAAAGTTAAGCATACAGGCGTTCGGCCACGTTATTTGACAGACGGGCAGATGGGAGCGCCCCTATATAAGGTGCTAACTGTAACTGGTAACCGGGTCCAGACGCGCAGACCGCCGCTCCGGCTGGCGTCATCCGGTTCCCTCACCAGCAAACGTCCGAGTCGGGTGCTGCGTTGATGACAGCGTCCGCCATCTTTGTATAGTCCTCGCCGCAGCGGCTCTTGTCCATCGTCATCTTCTGGATGCACGGTGCGTGCTCCAGATACTCTGCGGAAGTTGACAGGTGCAAATAATACATCTATTCAAAGATACGAGGTAACAGTTACTTACTTTCAACTCTGGGGTGCGACGGCATAATGCGTCAGTGAGTAGGAAGCGATGATAATTTAGACGCGGTATAAACACATAAACCTTCCGCACCGATAGGGCATGTCGCTTGACGATCGCACCTCGGAAAATGGTTACTTATCCATTAACAATTGACGTAAGTCGTTAGCGCGTTTTACGAATCAGACTGTGTCAGACTCTGCGACCTGCGTCCGCTGGGGGCTGACCTTTGCTGTAGTCGGGGTCGCTGCACATCTTGTGGACGCTCTTGACGGCCGTCTGGACGGCGCCGTTGAAGGCCAGCTTCTGCTGCCGCGAGTAGCCGGACATGACGAACTTGTTGATGCAGTCCACGAACAGGCGCCAGTTGCTGCGACACGAGCGGGCCGGGTAAGAAGAGAGGGTAAGAACAGGACACGACACGAGCCGACGAAGGTACCTATACACAGGGAGAGATAAAAAAAAAACAGTCGTGGGCGGAGCATAGTGTCCTGATGTATGAAAGCCTCTATCCGGGATGGAAAAATATTACGAGTCAATGACAAGTGTCACAAATATTTGAGTGACAATCAGGTCTTGAAACGGCTATTTCCCAAATATGGTTGAAATTCTTCCACGCATTCACAAACAATCGCGAAAAATTAGGGTCTCAAGGGGTATGGCGCCAACAGTAAGTTATCTTATCTGCCCGGTGAACATATGCAGCCATCAGTATCTTTCTGGTCCGTGGATAATATACCTATATAGATAATGGATAACAGTGAGCTGTGCACCCAATTAGCGTCCCTTTGTGTGTCTGTGGAGCACCCAGAGGCTGTCGGTGGCCGCGCCGTCCGCGCTGTCGGCTGTCGGTGGCCGCGCCGTCCGCGCCGCCCTCCCCCACTCACCGACAGACGGTGGCCAGCTCCTCGTGGGTGGCCGGCACCACCATCCGGGTCTCCGTCACCAGTGGCTGCGCCAGCTGCTGGCAGTGCTCCAGGTGAGCGGCTCCGCCGGACGCCGCCGCCGCCGTCACAGGCCCGCCTGCCGGTCACAGCGGGTCACAGCACCGGTCAAACCGGGGCGCACCAGGGCACACCGGTGGCAACAGGATCACAGGCGTCAGTCACACCGGATCACACCGGATCACACCGGGTCACACCGGGTCACACGGGTCACACTGGTCACACCGGGTCACACGGGTCACATCACCAGTCACACTGGTCACAACACATGTCACACAGGTCACACTGGTCACACCGGGTCACAACACCGGTCATACGGGCCACAACGGCTCGCAACAGGGTCACAACAGGGTCACTCGAGGTCAGCAAACGTCACGGGGGCGTTTGCTGGTCGGGCGCGACCCAAGCAACACACAACCTACGTCCGGTCATACGAGGTCATACGAAGCTGCAAGGTCATACGGGTTCATGAAGGTCTTATCAGCCTAAGCTCATATGGACGCTGGACAATGGATGCGCGGGACCATGCGGCGTGAAATAGCCTACTGAGAAGCATCCACAAGACATAGTGGATGGTTCTGCGGCGATTCACATGAGCTCGCCATGGGTCATGTGAGGTCACAAGGGCTCGTGGAAGGCTGCTTGTGATGATGGACGGCCTGAGCCGCATGGAATAGCTCGCGGAGCTTCACCGTAATATCCGTTTGTCCGTTGCTGGCATTTGGTGCCCGGTCTCACTTTATCTACGCAGTAGGCAATTGCGTGTTGTTTATATGTTTCAGTATGTGCAGTACTGTATACCATATCTTTCCCCGCGTTCGATGTCTCTCGGACGACGAAGATTCTACGTCGTCCGGCCAATCACGTTTCGTAACTGCAGCCGAGCCCCCGCTAACCTTGAACGGGACGTAGAATCTTCGTCGTCCGAGAGACATCGAACGCGGGGTTAATCTGCTGTAGACCACGTCCCCATCAATATTTTTTCCCACCGGTCGTTCTCTCCCTGCGTCACAGCGCGTCACAGGGACTCCTATGAGTCCGATATATACGTCCCGTATGAGGGGAATGTGTGTCCTGCTGCCCCGTCCCTACTGCCCGGGGTGCTGTCCCACCCCACGCCGTCCCGTAGGGTCGCTGGGGGGAAGGGGGAGGGGCGCTGGGGGGGGGGGGAGGGGCGCTGGTAGGTGCGCTGGGAGTGTCCCGTTAGCGGGTCGGCGCGCCGCGGCCGCGGTGGCACAGGGGCGAACATGGCGCACCGCAGCGCAGAGCGGCGTGCTGCGGCGCACAGCCGCGCGCCACCCCCTAATTCGGCGACCGCTTCCGGTGTCAGCGGCCGCGCCCGCAGCCACCCCGGCCCCGCCCCGAATCAGTGGCACCGGCCCGCCCCGAATCAGTGGCACCGGCCCGCCTCGATTCAGTGGGGTCGGCCGGGCCCGCCCCGCGCGCCCGGCCCGGCCCGGTCCGGCATACGTAATAGGTATGAGTATTTTGGCTACTCACTTTCCGTCAAGCTGGATTTTGGTGACCTTGCGGAATGCTTCACACCGCAGTTGCTTTGTGAAGCTATAGCTGCTAAAAAGTGAAGTATGTGCATAGTCTTTGCCTATCGCCTATACATACATGCATGCCATTTCAGTTCCAGCCGTAAGCGGCTCTAACACTTCAACCTACTCACCGTTTGGCTCTGTAATAGTATGTGTTCGGTCGTTCCGTCCCTTCCCGTCCCCGTCCCGTCCCGTCCTACTCCGTCCCGTCTCGTCCCACCCCGTCCCGTCCCCGTCCCGTCCCACCCCGCCGGTCCCGTCCCGTCCCGTCCCGTCCCTGTCCCCGGATCCCGTCCCACCGGATGGTATGAGCGAAGGGAGGTGGGTGACCATGCAGCTCGACAGAGCGTGGTCAGAAGCCGGATCCACCCCTCAGTGGAGGTCACAGGTCAGCCCTACACAATACAGGATGATGCCAAAAATGACCGCTAGGCCACAGGGTGTCGAGGTAGCCAGTTGCTTCCGGGGTTCGTGTATTAGTGTGCTGTGCTATTGTGCTAAGGCGTCTGTTGACGCAAACGCTGAAGGATCAGCCACATATGACATATTAGTGAGCTGTATACCTACATTTGATGATTATTATTCAGCAATTCACTTATCAACAAGGAATTACCAAAGCGGCATTGGCATTGCCGGAACCGTGAAAAATGATTGGTTTTTGATGTAGAACAATGCGGAACGGACATAGTGAAGTGGCTCAGAAGAGAAGTTCAAATTGGTAATCATTTCCCAGGTAAGTACCTGTATATCGAATAGTGTAATATTGATCTTATTCCAATGTCGCTTAGACGCATACACAATGTATGTATGTACATTGCTGCGGTCGAACATCCTTAAACACCAACCTGTCCAAACAAACAAAAGACGGCTTCGAATATGGGCATATGCGTTAACCCTCGCATGTGTGCGGCGTTTGCCAGCTTCTAATGTGTAGGGGGGGGGTCGGTTGGACCCCCCCCCTTGCCGTTTGGCCCCTGATCGAGCTAGAGCTTCGCGGAAAAAACGAGTGTGTTGCCCGTCACGAGAGGAAGCCGATGATACCCAATTTTAAGGTCCTAGGTCATTGGTTGACCTTCCAGGTCAGGTCAATGACCCAAAGTCGGGAAAATCGGGACCTGTTAGAAAATCGTAAAGTGTGGCTGCTAAGGGGGTTTTCGGGGTGCTGATCACGAATATCGTGTTAGTTTTGATCGCAGATGATGTCTTTAAGCATTTAGACCAGGTCGGGTCAGGTCAGGTCAGGTCAACCAGTAGGCGTCGTGACGGGTATTCGTAGTACGTGTCAACCGCCTCTGACAGCTTCGTAACATGTTACGAAGGCACCAAAACTACTTCGTTAATGTTCAAATGGTTGCTAAATTCGAATTCAGCTCCAAAAACTAGCCTACAAACATGTACAGCTCGAAAAAGTGAACCGAGGTCACCCGAGGTCACCAAAGGTCAATGACCTGACCTGACCTTCAGGTGACCTTGACACCCACCCTAATGCATGGAAGCAACATCAAATCACATGTTTGAACGTTTGAAACCACGAAAAGCTTGCAAACGCGCGGCTAATGCGAGCCGACATACGCAGAATCGCGATTCCGGCCAAACATGGTCTCGGAAAAGAGGTCACAGGTCAAAGGTCATTTGGGTCAGGGTCATGAAATTTTCAGGGTAGGTGTAAAATTGATCAATGTGAGGGTACTGAAAGTTTCGTTGCGATCGGCCGCTTTTTACGCGAGTTATTCGCGAAAAACCATGGGGGGGTCCATCCGACCCCCCTACACATGCGAGGGTTCTATGTTTCCGTTTGCTTTGGACTGTATTTCAGTGTTTACTAACTACATCCACTGACAACCAGACATGTGCATGGATCCGAGTGATGGATCTATGATCTCAGTGGATCTCGAGGCACATTGCAGGTTCTGATCTATGATCCCACCGCATCCGGCGTGGAAAATTTATCCTGGACCTATGATCTCACAGGATCTGACGATAAAACAAGAACATGGATCTATGATCTGAGTGGATCCCACCATGCACAACATTTGAAACCAGGTTTCCAAGTGTTTCAATGTCAATAAGTGCCATAAAATCCGTGTTATCACATAAAATCACTAAATAAGAACGTTTTTGAGTTGCAGCGAGTTATATTTGGGATTTCTGTGTTGACCAAAAATAAATTAGGATCTATGATCCCACTGGATCTCAAGCAAAATACTAGACTCGGATCTATGATCCCTGCGGACCTCTCGATAAATTAAAGAGCTGGATCTATGATCCCGACGGATCCGAGATCAGGATCCGTGGGATCAGATCCCAGATCCATTTTGTCGGATCCATGCACATGTCTGCTGACAACTACTAAGCGTAGGGGAAATTGCGTCATCCGTTCATATATCTAACGACCTATTGTATTAAAGGGACTATCCCACCTTCTAAAATGTTGTTAAAACCAGTTAAATTGTGCCCGAATTTATAGATTGGATGACCAGGAACACGGTTCTGGCATCTATTTTTCATTAAATATCTTAGGCTTCCCATATTCCAAACACAAACTTTCAAATATGTGACGTCACAGCCCAAAATTACCTCCCTCCCCAGGCCACATTACTGTCATAAAGCTGATTCTTTTTACTCTGTAGGCACCACAACAAAGTTCAGACCAAGTTTTAAGCGATTTTTCAACGAACAAACCCATTTAAATCAGAATGACTAAACGAGGTGACGTCACACTAACGGTCGCTCCATGTTGAAGATAGGGCCTTGTACACTCCCCTACTAAGTGATGTTCGCCCCCCGACGGCCCAGCGTTTGACTGGAGCGGTAGACTGCGCCGTCTCACACCCAGGCTCAGCGGCACAGCACATCCCTCTGGCCTCAACGGTAGACTGTGCCGCCTCACACCCACGCTCAGCGGCACAGTATATCTCTCTGGCCTCACACTCGCTACAGACGCGTTTGACCGGGTCAGGGACGCGCCGCGCTGGTTGCCTTATCGCTCACAGTCACATATCTGTGGCTAGGGGGCCTGCTGCGAATCGCTGGTCTTTCTGTGTCGACTCGAATGATGCTTGTAAGTGGTCACGATCGCATTTAGCTCAGTAAGATTAGTTATAGCAATTTATATCGTTTATTTTCTCCGGGTGGGGTGGGGGGGGGGTGTTTGCCCACACTTGCCAATGTTTGTGTGTCTGTAACGGAAACTGCGGCGCACAGCGACGCAAAACTTGGCACAAGTTATGAATTTCGTATCGTGTCTGGAATTGTTGACACCTGGTCACATCATAAAGTCAGGTCAAAATGTTCCTCTTTTTAGCGATGGCACCCGGATACAGGTGAATAATGGCACACCGAATCACAAAATTCCACTCTTGACCCATTTTATGCCCCTGAAGTCATCTCACATCATGATACGTCTCCGTAACCCTCGCCGGCACGGGGGGAACTGAATGCACCCGCCACCCCCCCCCCCCCACCCAAGGCTTCAAGCGAATAACTCGCGTAAAAAGCAGCCGATTGCGACAAAGCTTTCAGTACCCTCGCATTG